GGGCTCGCTGGAAGGAAGGCATCGTGCTTCTAGCAAGGTGATTTTTTTGCGGAGCCCTCGCGTCGGCTCTGACTCACAGCCGCCGCCGTGTGTACAGCAGAGCGAAGCCCTCGGGGCCGGCCTCCTCCCAGCTCTCGCTCTGCTGGAGTCCATTACCGTAGCCCCCGTGTCGGTCTGTATCACTGAGGTTCCTCCGTTTTGCTGATCCTCAGTTTGACCAACTACAATGTCCTCCAGGGAGCAGCCTCTCTGATAACGCGCGCTAAGTATGTGAACTGAAGTCTCCCCATCCTGGCTGCCAAGCGGTATTCTAGTTGTCCTTCCTGCAAGACTGAGCTGCTCATTCTCCTGGTAGTCTGTGGTATATATCCCATATTCTTTGCAAACCTTTGTAACAGTCTTATGCAGTATTCGTCCTTATGGGACTGAGTTAGTTCACTCAATATAATGCTCTCCAGTGTCTCCCAAGTTATGTAGTAATTTTCAAAGTCTTTGATCCTGAGTACTGCGTAGTATTTCATCGTGTGAATGTACTACAATTTCTTAATCCATTCAATTGTGGTTGGACATTTGGGCTGTTTCCATATTCTTGCAATGGTGAATAACACTGCTATGAATATTGGTGTACAAATCTCTGATTGTGTCTCAGTTATAATTTCCTCGGCATATAAGCCTAGCAGTGGAATAGCTGGGTCATGTGGAACTTCCATGTTCAGCCTTCCAGAGTGGTTGTACCGTTTTACAAGCCCACCAACAGTGTAGGAGAGTTCCTATCTCTCTACAACCTCTCCAACATTTTTTACATGATGTCCTGCTCCTGGGGCGAGATGGTATCTCATTGTGATTTTGCATTTCTCCTATTGCCAATGATTTTGAGCATTTCTTCATGTGTCTGTTTAGCATCTGAATGTCTTCCTCTCTAAAAAGTCTTTCCACATCTTTTGCCCATTTTGTAATTGGGTTATCAGTCTTTTTCTTGTGAAGGCTCTGTAGGATTCTGGAAACTTCTGTTACGAGACACTTGTCTGAGATGGTATTTCCAAATGTTTGTTCCCTGTCAGTAGGTTTTCTTTTCACCCTGTTGGAAAAATGTTTGATGTGATAGGGATTTAACCCCATTCATCAATTCTGTCCTCTCCTGGTTGTGAACTGCTATGAGTGTTAACGAACCCGACAGCACCTGACAACAACACATGGCCCTTTGCATTGGGCTCTACTCAGTGTGTGTGATACATGTGCACAAGGAGACTTGGTTGTACAATGGTTAATCTCTGAGCTGCTAATCCAAAGCTCCAGAGTTTGAATCCACTGATAACTCTGTGGGAGAAAAGACCTGGTGATCTATTCCCATAAGGATTCCAATCAAAGCCAATTCAGAACCTCAAGTGGACGAGAGCCAGAGCAACCCTGGAGGACAAAGCAGGACCACCCCATGGGGTTTCCAAGCTGGGCATCTTTACAGCAGCAGACTGCCTCAGCTTGCTCCATGAGCAGTGGGTAGGTTTGAACTGCCGACCTTGCAGCTACAAGCCTGACTCTGAACACACAGTGCACTAGGGCTTCTCAGTAGTGGGCCTCTCTTCTCTGTACTGTACGTGACAGCACATACAAGCCACACACACCCTGCTCAGAGAGGTGGCGGCAAGCTCAGCGATTGCAGCAGGAGGTGGTGGCTTCCGCAGCATACGGAACGCACTGCACCACCAGGTCATTGTCCATGCATTGATATCCACTTGGAGCTGCCCTGCCCTTGGGCTTCAAGCTGCGAATCCGTGGAGGAGGCTGTCCATCTTTCTCCCAAGGAGTCGTGGGCAGATTCAAACCACTGGAGAAGTGTGGCCTTCCGGTCAGCAGCACAGCTCCCAGCTCCTCATTGCCAGGCTCCCTGACCAGAGCTCCCAACACAGTTGTATAAACTCTAAAGCTGCCCACCTGAGGCTGTGAACCTTTATGGGAGGAAACGGACTCTTTTGGATAGGAGAGCAATACCCTATACTGTGCGCCACCGGAGTTTTATGTTGTTGTATACCAAAGAATTGGAACCAACGCAGAGCTGACCCTCCAGTGGGTTTTCAGACGTAGTTATTTGCACAGGAGACTGCCTGCTGATGCTTCTAACGTGTCTTCGAGACTGCAGTGCAGCTTCTTGCCACTAGGCCATCAGAGCTCCCCAGAGTTTTATAGAAGAAAAATCTGTCCCGTGTATGTCATGCTTTACAGAAAAGAAACCCCTAACCCAGTCAGACTCCACCTGGGGGTCCCGTGCTGGCTATGCCCCTCAGCACGCTGCTTTCCAGGTTCAACCTCGTTACTTTGCACCGTGAGGCAACAGGGTGGAGCGAGGAGGCTCGTGTGTCATGATTGTGTGTCAGGCCCGGGAGCAAGGCTGGGAATAACCTGGAATAACAGTACTCGGTCCTGGGGGAGGTGGCCGGTCTAATAAGCCACAGAAGCTGAGATCTGAAGCTGCTAAAAGCTAACCAAGCACACCCCCTGGGAGGAAGGTGGAGAGGGGCTGTGATCTCACGTGGATAGACAAGCTGGAGAGGGCGGCGCCCAGACAGGAAGGAGGTGGCGGAGCGAACCCTCCCCACACCCCTCCCCTCCCTCCTGGCCAGCACGTCTGTCCTACGAGGGCCAGGCCTGTCCCATCAACGACGCATCCCCAGCACTCGAGACAAGCATCGTGAAGGATTGAGGTGCGCGGACTGTGATGCGAGGGTAACCGGAGGGTCCCTACTCCCCGCCACCACAGGGCCCGCCCTGCACCGCCCCTCCCCTCCGCCGCCATTGGCCACCGCCTCTGGCCCCGCCCCACCACTGGCCACTGCCTCTGACCCCGCCTCCCCACCGCCATTGGCCACCGCCTCCGGACCCGCCCCCCACTCTGAGCCGCCCCGCCCCGCCGCCGCCATTGGCCACCGCCTCCGCCCTCGGCCTGGCACTTCCGCGGAGCCATGGCTGCGCAGCGGGCCGGCCCCGGGGTTCCCGCGTCCGCGCCCTGCCGTCCCCGCCGCCCTGGCCCGCCGGGGGCCTCCGCACCGCGCCGGTAGAGCTCCAGGTGGGCCACCCCGCACGCCCTGCACCCTGCTGGCCCGGGATCCGCCGGGTGCGCGCCGTCGAGGGGCCAGGGTGGGGGCAGGAGGCGGGAGCGGGCCCCTCGGAGCCAGGAAGCCGGGGTGCAGTGGGTGGGCGGGCGGGGCTGCACGGGGAGCCGAGGCCCGGCCGCTGCAGGGGTGAGGGTGCACCGCCCCGCAGGTGATCCAGATGCGGCCTGCGCGGCGGCCCCAGGTGAGTCCCCGCGCCCAACGAGGCCCCGGGCCCGGAGTGCCCCGATCCCGCCTCCCTGGCTGCTGCCTTGAGCCCGCCCAGCGGCGGTGGTGCAGCGGTTCCGCCGGGGCTGGCTGGTGTGAGCAGCCGTGTCCCCGGGGACCCTCTGGGACTGCGCGCGGGCGTGGTGCCTGCGCCCCGCAGAGCCTCCCAAAGCGGGCAGGTTCTGGGTAGAAGGCCCAGGAGGGGAGGAGGGGCCCCTATCCATCCGCTCCCCATCCTCCATCCGCTCCCCGCCCCCCTCAGTGTTTACTGAGAATCGTCTCTTTCCGCTGGACGGCCTTGACCTCCTGGCCTGCTTCTCCGAGCTGGAGGACCTGACCCCAGTCTGGGGCGATGGCAGCTGGGCCATCTGGGAGACAAAGGGCCAAGCTAGGAGCTCGAGAGAGCGCAGCCTGGCAGGGCGAGAGGGGCTGCTTTCCGTGGTGGGGCTGGGCCACCTGAACCTGGGTGTCCTTGGCGTGACCACAGTGGTGGCACCTGTCACAGATGTCCTGGCGAAGCCGGGATAAGAGAGTTGGGGTTTGCAGCGGGCACTGCAGGAATGCGCGCTCACTCCTCCCCTCAGGTCCTCTCCTGGGGGGGTGCTGGCAGGAGCAGTGGGCAGTTGTCATGGTTACAGGGTTGCTGGCCCTCCTACCTCGGGCAGTCAGACTGGAGGGGCTGTGCTTCCCCCTCCCTGGGGAACACTGAGACCGGGGCCTCCACTTATCTCCAGGCTGGGCTGGCTTCTCATACTGATGTCTGTTAGCCTCTAAGATTATCTGTCCTGGTAGGTGTCAAATCAGACTGCTCACGGAAACTAAAGAGAGGGGGGAAAATCTCGTTTAAACCCGTGATCACTGCAGGGACCAGTGCCGAGTGGCTAGCCTAGTACTTCCTTTGTTCCCCGCTTCTATCCCCAAAGTCCCCCGAAGCCAGCTGTGTGTGTGAGGGAGGCGCTTGGCTTTCTGAGCCAGAGGAGACTTGGCATTGCCTGGTGCACATTCTGCAGCCCTGATGGTGAGGGGCAGAGGCGCTCCAAGAGGGCCACAGGCCCAGCCTGGGCCTCCCAGAGTTTTCTAAGTGCCAGGTGCCATAATCTGGGGGCTCAGCAACATGTATGACTCTGAATCTTGGTCCTGCCACTTCCCAGTCCTGTGACACTGGGAGGTCCACTGCACTGCGCCACCAGGGGTTCCTGATCTGTAAAATGAGCATAACGGTATATGCTTCATGGGCTTGTTGAGGGGCTTAAATAAATGAATACATATACAAGCACTTTGGATAGTGTGCAGAGAACACGCTCTGTATGTTAGGGAACGACTTAGTAATAAAGTCTCATCGATGACCACAGTCACGAGCAGAGGATCGTGGTCAGAACCTGGGGGTGGACTGACTCTGGTCTGATTCTTGGTCACCATCCTCCCTTATAACATGGGTGAGTGATGTCAGGTAGGCTGAGACACTACGGGAGTTAAGGTAGGTGACTTGGAGCCCCTTTGGAGGGTCCTGGGCAGGCTTGTGTCATGGTGTCCACCTGGGATCGTCATAACCTCCGTCTCATCTTCTGGTGATTGTTTCTGCTTCTGATGGCCACAGCTGCCTGCTAGCACGGCCTACACCCCAAAATCAGAGTTGTTCCACACTCCCAGCAATGCTCTTGTTACAGGGCTGCAGTCTTCATGACCATGGAGGGCGCCAGGCAGACGCGAGTGTCTCGGCCGTACAAGATCAGCGAGTCGTCAAAGGTCTGTGACTTCTGTCCGCCTGTGCAAAGGGCCTCAGTAGGGTGATCTTCCTGACTAACCCGTTCTTAACTTGCAGGTTATTATTTCACTGTGGTTGACAGTGCGGTCAATCTCCTTAGTGAGGAGTAGAGTTAGACACGGTCCAGGAGCAGGAGTCTTCATTCGATCAGAGGTGGCAGTGAGTGCAGGACACACTGAGACACTTTGCCTGCATGTCCTCTTTGTTCTTCAGAGGGGTCAGTCCAGCCACTGTGCCCCTTTGTCACTGCTCTCAACCTTAGCTGGGGGACTGGCTAGATGGCTGGAATTGGCCATGCCCACCTAGCGGGCCAAGAGAACTAACAGCTATGTCTTGGTGAGGGTGCAGCCAGAGTGCCCTTTGAAGGCAAGAATGATGAGGCTTCGTCTCATGTGGCTATTCTTTAGAGAAGGACATGATCCTGGGAAGGGTAGAGGGTTGGCAAAGCAGAGGAAGGCCCTCAAACAGGTGGACGTCAACCAGGTGGACTGACATGTTGACTGCTGCAGTGGGCTCTTGTATGTCAGGAAGTGTGAGGATGGGACAGGATAGAACAGGATTCAGATCTTTTGTTCATAGGGTCGCTAGGAGTCATACTTGACGACACCCAACCACAACAACCTGGGGGACTCAAAGACTGCAAGGACGTGGCCTGACCTGGAGCAGAGACAGCACCTGTGCTTCTTGGCCGTGGTTTTCTGGGGCACTTAAGTGTGAGCACAGGGGGGCTCTCGAGGGCTGGGGTGCTGTCGGCATCATGCTGGCTGCATTACTGTCCCCCTGGGGTAGGCAGCATCTAATCTGAGACATGTATGCCAAGTCCCACCCCAGACCTGCTGAGTTAAAATGTGAGAAAGGCCTGGGAATCTGGACCTCAGTAACCTCCCCATCTCCAAAGCTCCCACGAGCAAGGTGGGGGAAGAGCCCCCGTTTGGACCTGTCTTCACACTTTAATTGCCCCTACGGCCTAAAAGCTTATTTTCTAGAGGTTAAAATCATATGGCTACTTTCAACCAGTTGAAAGCCTCTTGGCTGTGGCTCCTGGTGAACACCTGTGTGTTAGAAGAGAGCCATACTCTACAGGGTTTTTAGTACTTTTTCAGAAGCAGTTGCCAGGCCTTAATTCTGAGGTATCTCTGGGTGGGTTTGAACCTCTGCTCTTTCCGTTAACAGCTGAATGCATGAACCATTTGCACCATCAGGACTCCCTGGCCATCACAGGCCACACATTCTTTGCGGGAGTGATACTGTTACCAAGGGAGAGAAAACTCGTTCCCCAGAGGTATAGGAAAAATGTCATGCCCTTTATGTAGAAAGTACAGTGTGGTGCATGTTATACGTTGAGCTGCTGAGAAGTTACGGGTTCAAGTCCACCAGCTGCTCCGTGGCAGAAAAGGCAGGCAGGCTATTCCCCTTAACCTTGTCAACCTTTTCAGTCCTTGCCAGGGGATCAACCTGGTGACAGGGAGTATGGTTTGGGGATTTAGAAACAGAAGTATACAGAACTGCACCAGAACCCTCAGCCACAGAATAACTACACCACAATCCACAGCATAACTACACCTGAACTCCAACATAACCATACCACAACCCATTGCCGCAGCATAACTACACCCGAACTCACT